TGAAAAAACTTTATTGCATTGTTTGAACCTACCCCTGTGAGGCTGGGAATCTGGACCACCTCTTCCTATTGCTTAGAGCCCCTTAACTAAGGACTTAGCTTATGCCGACCAGAAACCCAGTCAGATCTAAAAATTGACATAAGTTCTCTCACAATTATATATCTCAAGCAGCCCATATGTCTTATCTGAAAACCAGCCCTGTACTAGTCAATCTGTTACTGTCCCTTTGACCCAAATACAAACACTTGAGAGGGAGTTGGACACCTCTTTTTCTGATTTCTGGAAATAACACCTGTTTACTCTCTCCGTCCCAACATGGAAAGCCTCTAATCAGGTTACCTAATTTTGTATCCTGGTTTATATCTTATTAATTGTTTTAATGCATAAGAATCTTTCTTTCCCCATATTTTGGGTCCACCGACAAGCTGAGGAGGCCTGGTCTTGATTTGTTATGGAATTGATATACACTGCTTAATAAACTGATATGCTTAGAAGCTCTGTTTCCTCAGTTAATTCAGATTTCACCCTTGGTGAGCCAAGCTACTTCGAGTCAGGACTCCAACCTTCAGGAAGATAGTTTCTCAGAAAAACTCCCTTAAGTACGGTCAATCTTTTACCAAGGGACTTTTTCTTTGGAAGACTGTCCCCAAAGTTCAGACTCTCCTCAATTTCCAATTCCTCTGAGCTAAGGTAAGGTTTACCTCCATACTGCTGGGGATGGTTTACTCCACCCTTAATGTTGGGGATGGTTTACTCCACCCTTAATGTTGGGGAAAGGTTACTCCCTTTAAGAGAACTTTGAGGTTAAATTTAACCCCACTCTAAAGGCTGGGAAAGAACTGCTCCCTTTAAGGGAATGATGTGTTCCAGTAATAGTAAAATGTCAAAGGATCTGCCTCTTGGAAAAACTGTAATAGGGGCAGGGGAAGAACACTATTAATTTGAAATCCCCTTAGGGAAATTCTTATTAACCTGGTAGTAGAATAGGTGACTAAAAAGACAGAATTCTGAAATTAGCTAAAATATGTAAAAATCCAGCTGTCTCCCAAATTTGGTGGCAAATTCAAGGCTTTGAGATTAGACTTTCAGTATAAGGTAGCTACCAAGTATGTAACTGTCTTACTGCTTGTCTGTGTTTTTATGTCTTTGTAAAATGCTCAGAAAGAAACTTTATCTTGTGTGGTGTTAAGTGTTGTTTGTAGATTCTGCTACCATTAAAGATTTCTAAGAGGAAAATGCAGCCAGCCATAAAGACTGTTGTAAAGAGCTGCAGTCAAAGAGTTTAGAATGCTGGGGAAGATTAATGAACTGCCACTTTAGGCTTTCAGTGGTAGATTAGGTTAAAAAGGGAAAAAAACCCCACAAGATATTTTTTCTTTGTTATTTCAGTCATGACCACATTGAATTACAGAGGTCAGATAATCAAAGAAAGGAAAACTTTTTCCTGGTTCATAGGAATTTACAGCATTATAAATGAATTCAAGATTCCAAATTGTGGTAACTGCTTGAAAAAAAAAAACTTTTGTTTTTCGATTTTGGAGGTTTGGAGATTGGACATTAATCATTAAGGAGTTTGAAGATTAAACATTTTAAGATTGTAGGGGAGAACTCCTGGGATTTTGGGTAATTCCAGGAACTCACTCCCCTCTCTTTGTCCTATCTGATATGGCACTTAGAAACATATGCTGAAATGTCATAGTGAGTTTTGAGATACGACTCTAAAGAATTTTTTTTAAAGGAAAAATAAGAATTAAGTTCTATAAAAGTTTTAGGGGTAAATAACACTTTTATTTCTTTAATTTAATTTTTTAATCATCTCTCCTCCAAGATTGACAGAGCTATTGTTCTAGTGTAACGAAGGAAGGCAGCTAATTTGAAAGTAATCCCAGAGTGGGAAAAAACCCCCATAGGTATAGGGTCTGCAATTTGACTCTTATTTATCCTCCTTGACCATGGAAAAAGAAAAGCTTATTTAAGTCAGAAAGCAACTTAAAAATGAGTAAAATTTAATCAAGGAATGGAAAGGTGATTTAAACTGAAGAACAGTCCATGCGAAGGGACCCCATTGTTGTGGATAATGGGGATAGATATTAGCAATGACAGAGTGATGAGTGTGACCAAGAACTAGGAATGTCTTTTGGGAAGGCTAAAGAACTTCAGATATATAGCAAATTTAAATATTTGGGTAAGTTAAAAGCAAGGCCACCAAAGGATATTAGAAAGAAATCAAGTATTTGTAAGTTTTTAAGAACCCAAAAAAGTAACAGTATTGTAATTAGTTGGGATTGTGTAAAATTTTGTGCTACATTACAAAAGAGAAACACAAGTAAAGATCAGTTATTTAGATAGTTTCAGATAAGATTAGGAAATACAGCACTCTGTCCCTGAAAGGCCATTCCAGGAACATATTCCCCAGTCTTTAGAATTTCATGAGCTTCAAAGCAAGGGGATAGGAACTTGAGGCTGCCACTCGGAACCTCTCCCTATCTTTCACCCAGTGTCAAAACTGAAAAGTCTCGGGGAAAGAGAGAATAAGGGCTAGGTTGTGAATATAAAAAGAATTGATTTGGCTCTTTGGATGATTTTTGAAAGAAAATAGTTTATGTAAAAGTGAAAGTAGTACTACAAACCTTTGAAAATGAGCTGTTAACTCTTGGCTCAAATTTTAAAGGTCAGGTGTCTAAAAGCCCTGAAAGATTAAGATTTTGATTTTGTGGTTGTACATCCAGATTTGATCTAGTTGAGATTTGTCCTCCAACTAAATTATAATGCAAATAATAATAAAAGGTTGAGGGCAGCTAGGTGGCGTGGTGGATAGAGCACCGGCCCTGGCATTAGGAGGACCTGAGATCAAATCCGGCCTCAGACCAACAACTGGACACTTAACTAGCTGTGTGACCCTGGGTAAGTTATTTAACCCCAATTGCCTTAAATAAATAATCATAATCATAATAAGGCTGGAAAAATGAATGGGTCAGGGAAAGCCAAGTTACACTCTGGTCTCAGAAACTCATCAGCAGTGTGATCTTACTTATCTCCATTTCCTGATCTATAAAGAGGAAAATAATAATTATACTCACCTCCTGGGGTTGCTGTGAGGATTAAATGACATGATTGTAAAGTGACTAGCATATGGTAAGCACTATATAAATGCTGACTACTGTTATTATTTCTTTAATTGAATGTAACTGCACACCAGGTTTTATATGTAATTAGTACAATGTGCCAAAGGTGATAAAAATGAGTGATTTTCATGTAAGATCATTTGGAAATGAATTAGGCTGAATTGTGATCATCTGACTGGTGATAAGTTTTGTTTCGTGTTTTAAATACATGATACTGTATATATTATTATTGTGTTACTAAAAAATTTTTTTTTAATATTGTAAAATCTGAGAAACCATTGTATCAGAAATGCTGTTAGGTAAATAACTTCCTTTTTAATCTAGATGCTGTTAGATTATGAATTGAGGTATAAAAAGAATGTGATTAAAAATAGATATTTGAAAACTGTTAAATGTTTAATGGGGCATATTTTGTTTCAAAATTAATAATAATAATAATAATAATAATTTACTGTTTAAGGAAAAAGTTGCATAGACCTTTTAAAAGGTTCCTTGAGATTTTGTATTCAGGCAGGGTCATAAGATCTTATCAGCTCTACTGATCACATGTTGCAAATCTAAAGTACTTAAGTTTAAGAACCTGGAACTGATAAAGATGTAACATTAACACATTAAAATGAGTTAACTATCAGGTATTTGCTGTATATCTGAAACTGCAGAATGTTGTTAATTTTAATTTATAAATAAAAAATAAATGAAATGCAATTGTTAGGAAAACATAAGAAAATTAACATTTAAGCCCTGAGGCTAAGCTATGGTTAGTGAAATTTTTATCTGAGGCAAAAACTCTTGGGACTACAGTTTTGAGTTTTGATTACACAGATAGCTGTATGAATTGTCATGAAGCCAATAGTAAAAAATGGCATGTGCTGCAGTATAAGAACTGCTATAGGTGGATGTCTGTCCTTGGAAAAACTGAGGACAACTTTGGTGTGACCTAAGGTAGGATCCTTTTGACTCAGTTTTCCTATTGTGCTACTTCCTTTCTGAACAGGAAATTTCCCTACCTGGCTAATTCTGAGCCTAGCTATGATACCCTGTGAATGTAGAGTTTTACTACATGACTGGCTGTCAAATATGACTCATGCCTGGAATCAAACAGAGATAACAAAATTTTTCCCCTGTTACAGTATATGTCTGTTCAGTCTATGCTCTCGAGGGGATAAGTCTTGACCTGGTTATAACTATGTACCTCCTTTTTCTTTCACAGCAAATTTCTATTATTAGGACAGATGAGCAATAGAAGTTTTATAAGTACCATACTAAATCTATTAATTAATAGACTGATACTGGAACATGTCTGTGTTAGTATAATAGAATACAAATATGAAAAATCTTACAATTTTAATCTGTATTTGCAGTCAAATTGTAAAAATAGAGATGATAACCTCCTAAATGGGGAACTAGACAAAGTAATAAGACAAAGATATAACGTAAAAGTTTTCTAATTAAATGGACTAATAAAATTTGAGAAAGCAACATAATTAGACTGTTTTCTCTAGCATTTATACATACGTATATGACTGACTTCCAAATATACTTAGTAGGGAAATGCAGGCTTTGGTTTTGTTTTAGTAGTAAGTTCTCAAAATTGGACTGAGGATTTGACATATAAAACTATGTTGATGATTATAAAGAAACTATAATTATTTCCCCATTTTAAAGTGTTTGATAATTTTAAAAGATAAGGATTCATTTTACAAATCACAACCTCATGAATTTCTTTTTAGATTCTTATATCAGGTATAGGCTTTAGGTAAAGATAAAAACAGTAAGCAGTATATAAAAACTGAAATTCTCTGAAGTTTCAGGTTTGGAGAACCAAATTTAAGAGACTGCACTAAATCGTATTGTCTTTTTACTGGCATATTTTAGAAGAATTATCTAGGAATTACTGCAAATGATTTGGAACCAGAGAAGCAGAGCCCTCCTCAGAGCTGCCCCTAAGAATGAGACCTTTTCCAGAACATTCAAGAGAAGATATTTCCAATGACCAGACAAATACATGGAACATCTGGGACTCAAGACAAAATGAAATAATTAAATGTACATTGGGAGTGGGTTACTAGCATACAAGGAGATGATGCTATTTAATAATAATGATCATCACTGTACTGGTTTGGTCTTTTGTTTCATGGTATTCATGCTGTTTTCTTGGTTACCTTGCTGACATATAAATTTCCCCTCTCAAAATTAGTCCACTGTGAACTCTCTAAGTAGTCTAATCTGTAGCCTGACTTAAGTAATTCTGATTATGACTACATGAAGAACCTTATAGATCTGGCTGGTAGATAAGTAATCCATGGAGGAAGTGGGCTGGCCTCTTCACCATGAACCAAAAGGAAGAACTGAGGGAACTGTGAGAACTGAGGGAACTACACTGACTCCATCTTGTGACTCAATTCTGGAGCTCACTCAGTTCCCTTTTTACTCAATTCTATTACTTTTCTATCCAATTTCTGTCCTGCGCAAAACTGTTATTCAATTACAGAAACTGTGAGACAATTTTGTTGCACTGTTTGAACCCAGCCCTGTAAGGCTGGGAAGCTAGACCACCTCTACCTGTTGCTTAGAGACCCTTAACTAAGGACCTAGGTTATGCTGACCAGAAACCCAGTCAGATCCAAAGATTGATGCAAGGAATTTTCTCACAACTATACATCTCAAGCAACACATATGTCTTATCTGAAAACCAGGCCTGTACAGGTCAATCAGTTACTGCCTCCCTGTTCCTTTGACTGAATACAAACAATCTGGGGGGAGTTGGCCACCTCCTGTTCTGATTTCAGAGAACTGCACCTATTCACTCTCCCCCGCCCAGCTTGGAAAGCCTCTAATCCATTAGAAATCAGATTACTTAATTTTGTATCTTGGTTTATATCTTGTTAATTGTTTTAGTGCATAAAAATCTGTCTTTCCCTGTATCTGGGATCCAGTGCCAAGCTGAGGAAGCCTGGTCCCAACTTGGCACGCACTGCTTAATAACGCAATATACTCGGAAGTTTCAACCTGTTTCCTCAGTTATTTCAGGTTTCACCCATCACTCAATAAAATATGCAATAAGAAGGAAAGCTTTGAGGCACATAACTCCAGACTAAGCTAACAACAGTGAATAAATGGGATCCAAGACCACTCAGTAGTAGTCAAGGATGCATTTGGCAGTCAGAGCAGCACTTTTAGGCAACTGAAAAAAGGTTATATATGGTATAAAAATAGTCCAATGATGCAAATTACATCCTGGACTGTGATTGGTCTGACCCAGACGTGGAAGCTGGGCTATGCTTGGCCTGACTCATAGTGGGGATCTCCACAACCCAGAGCAACAAGGGAAAAAAAATTATCACAGAGTTGGCTAACATCCTCTGGAAAGCCCCATGATCAGCAAAGTTCACAGATTAGAATTTTTGTGGCTGAACGTCAGCCCATGAGAATAGAGAAGTTAAGCTTATTACAAATTTTACTAATAGGGCCTATATAATTAAGTCTAAATGTAATTCCTAAATATTGACTCTGATTAGATACAAATATTAGATACAGTTCCCAATCAATAACAATTTCACAAAAGAATGTTACTGAAGCATTTAAAATGCATAGAAACAAATAGAAGGAAGTACAGAGGGAGAGACAGACAAGTAGGACAGCTCTGAAACTGCACTGAATTTACTATATATGTAGCAAAACCTAAGCTGTATAAAAGAGATTCATGTTTTTACACACAATCCTTTTTGTTGTTGTTGTTGTTCTTTATATATGAAAATGTTCATGTTTGTTTTTGTCTGGCAAGTTCAAAATAACAAAAAGTAATTTTTTTTTAATAGGAGCAGCAAGATTTGAATTAGGAATGTTGAAAGTCCTACATCTATATAGACATAAGAAAGAAACAACCTGTGATCATATCCAAACATCTAGACCCTGGAACAAATCTGAATCATGTATAAAATTAAATGCATCTGAATTTTCATGCTGTTACTAAAATGAGTTATGCCTAGAGTTGCAAACTCAGGGAAAACAAAACAAAACAAAAAACACAAATGGACCCAGCTGACTCCTATTCACAAAATAAATAACCTACAGCTGATCATACATTTTCTTATAATGGTTGTACCAATTCCATACAATTAATGTAGGCATCATATTTCAATAGCACTATCCTGCATATTAATATTTTAACACATTCTAATTAAACCCTTTTACATTATGAACAGAAACAATTTGTAACAGGGAGTATCATGTGCCTCTTCAAGTGACTATAAGATAGAATACAAGTTTATTTTCTTTTTTTCCCCGCTAGGTCAACTTGTCCCTGACTTGGCTGTAAACATGCTTGATTTCAGCAAAGCTGACAAAACAATATAAGTCTACAAATGTCAATCTGTTAGGAAAACTGACACTGATTTGAGTGGGCAAAAGCTTTTCCCTTCACATCTCTTGAACAAGGATCTCGTGAATGATCACATGTATGATTAAAATTTGAATTGAGCTATCAAAGTGGTGATGGTGATATGGCAGTGCTGTGAATCAGAAGAGCCTTCCCTTCAGAAACCAAGTAGAACTATTGCTGTTGATTTATACTCTGCTTCCCACAGAATATACTACAGGGATACTGTGAAACAGAGATATAGCTACTCTGTGAATTCTTTATAGAGATCTACCAATTCTTGGGAATTTTCCCAAGTGGACGGCCAATGGCTTATACTAAACCCAAGGAAAAGATCTAGTCATTAAAACAGTTCAAGTTACGGTTAGCATGTAGCGTCAGAAATAACAACTAACGAGTGGGTAATGATCTATTCTAAGAAAGCAGCAAAGAATGTTTATTTTCATCCATGGGTATTTCTTAACAGGCCAAATAGGACAGAAGCTCTTTTAAAAAGTACATCATTGGGCCAGCTAGGTGGCACAGTGGATAGAGCTCTGGCCTTGGAGTCAAGAGGATCTGAGTTCAAATCCAGACTCAGACACTTGACACTTACTACCTGTGTGACCCTGGGCAAGTCAATCCCATTGCCTAGCCAAAAAAAAAAAAATTAAATCATTAAAAACTATAGAATATTCCTTTTTGTTTTTTATTTTCCATGGCAGCAGATTACTAACATAGCATAAAGTCAATTTTCAATTATTGGCTCTAACAAACATTTACTAAACGCCTACTATGTTCAAGATAATGTGCTGGGCAGAGAAAATAATTTTGTAGTTTGAGTATTATTCAGGTCCTTAGCTTCCTGTTTTCTGACTATTTTAAGAATTAATGATCCCAAAGATTACTAGGATATTTATCAAATATACAGGGCAAAAGTAAGGTGAAACTCAGAGACCTTTGAATTTTGAGCACACATGGTAAAAGTTTTAGAGGGAGGAGATAAAACTATAAATTATTTTTTTAATTAGCTAAAAATTATCTTGTTTATACAACCTCTATTCATTAGCAGCAAATAAAGTTGAGTTGGCTATAGTCAGATTCAATTATTAAATCTATTTCCTAATCAAAATCAAATGTAATAGGTAACTATCAAAACAAATGTGATATATAGACTATCATTTTTTTTAATCTACCCATTTGATTTTTCCCTCCTTTGTATGGAATTTCAATTATTGACAGAAATAGTTGAAAGAAACTCTCATTTTGTACCCAATTTTGCATAATTAAAGGAAAATCTTTCACCAATTTTGAAGTTTTCCCATTTCAAAGATGCCGCTGCCTTTGACCAAAATGAGTATGAAAACAAAACCGAAAGAAGGAAAACCTGAAGATGTGATCTAAAAGATCCCTTCAAGTGTAGCCACCTGTTCTCTTTGGGTTTCCCGTTTAAAGTTAGAGAAATGTGTGTTAATTTGGATATACATAAATAAAGGGAGTCCTTTACCATATTAAAATTAACCAAAACAAAAATCTCCCTCATTGCCATTTTGTAAGAGATTAGCAGATTCTCTAAATGTCATGTTGTACAATGATATGTTTTCAGTAACCAAAAGTAACCTTACTGCGACTTAGCCAACAAGTATGTGTTTTATAACCTGGGTGTTTTAAAAAAGTATTTAGTTGGTGGTGTTTGTTTGTTTTTAGATTTACCATTACATTTAGTGTTATTGGTGAGGCTTTAGAATTTTAATGGGCATGCTGTCACACTAAAATGTCCATCCACAGAAAAAAACTCAAATTGTTTCTAGGAAATCAACACTGACAGTTGTTGCCTCCTATAATAAAGACATTAACTTGACTCTGACTGTTAAGATAGAAAATACTAAGTAAAAAGCAGTTGTAAAAAGAAGCTGTTATGCAAACTGTACTAGATCAAATAACAATCTATGCCAACCTTCCTTCTGCCTAAAATTTCATTACAGATGCTTGATTACTGATTGCAAAATGATTTGGTGTTAAGTAGCAAAACACTAAAAAATGTTTAAATGTGAAACCAACTGCAGTATTAGAACACAGCCATCAAAAGACTCTTCCAAAATACTTCCCAGATACATATCAATTCACAAATCAACATTAGATGTATGACTTAGGAAAGCTGTCAGATTGGGGAAAGGCTCAGTCAAAGCAAAGAGGCTATAATCTCACATTTTCCATTCTTTTTCCTGTCCATAGTTCTTCCATGACTTGGAATTATGTTATTTACCTTGTTTACAGATCCACCTCAACCTCTTTCATTTCCAAATGTGCCAAATACGTTAATATGGTTATTATCACTTCCATATTTCTTCCTTAATGTGATGAAGTTCCACTCAAGTCTCAATCACTAGACTCAGCAGCTACAGTAATTCCTTCTAGTAATCTTCAAAATACCTTTGAGAGTCACCATATTACTGCCAGAATGATCTTGATCAAAGAGTCTGAAAGACTGTGATGGGCAAACCAGAAAGACAGGACGAAATAGCACACAAGCATGAGAATGAGAGAAAGAAATGGAGTAGGCGGGCAAATAAGCCTGGAAAAAAAATTAAAACGACAAAAGGAATAGTAATTAGCTAGCAAATTTCTCTGCCAAAATAGTTGGTTTACAATTTAATCATTTTCTTTGGTTTAACCTAATGATAACTAACTTTGTAAAATCAGAGGTCTAAGAATATCTGTT